GGGGGGGGGGGGGGGGGGGGGTACATCATATTGAAGTTTCGATATTTTCATCATTACTAAGCTTCAAGAACTCGAGACAATACCTTCCCGAGAGACGTTCTTGATGCGAAGGACAGCTTGTGCACTTAAAGGGGAGAGCTTTGATTGACAAAAGTCTTCCCAAGAGCCTTTCTCTGGATCTTCAGGCGTTGTTGTTGGGAGGTCGGTGAACTTCTCGTACACAGATTGCAGCTCCACGAGGAGGATTCGAGCTGCCTCCCTAGACTCGGGAAGCTGGTCACTGAGCTGGGATGCTGCTGTTTGAATCAATTTGTCGATTCCATGTGCTTTTATCCCTTCAACACCCTATCCATAAATATGTGTTATACAAGTGAGCAGAACAGATATGAAAGATTCCAGACATAGGGACAGTGGGAAATCAGACAATGAACAGAACAAGCCAGAAAAACATTTAACAGTAAACATACAGCTGAGCAACATAGGAACAAAACGTTTGACATATCAAAGGCATATACAAAACTATGTTCAATTTTAGACATTCTTTTTCCAGATATCCAAGATCAGAGATATCCAAGATCAGGGCTTGAGAGATCTTGGGAGGAGATGTTGTTTCGCACAACAACGCGGACACTCGATCTAGATGAACACAAAGAACAGTAGAAAGAAAATGCAAGGAGGAATATTGGCTAAAGCTTTATATTGACAGTCGAGAATATAGAGAATACAGAAAGTATATTTTCAAAGCACGGTATATATGGTTCAGTTAACTATATATAGCTTTACCATATATAATCATCTACTATATATAACTATCTACCACAGATGTGTTCTCCTGGGAGATTTAGTACTTCTTTCTGTGCATTTGTCACGATGGCTTTTCATAACTATTCTTTAGGTCTTGTCCTCTCAAACCGGTCCTACTTTTGTTTAGCGAATTTGTGGTCCCTCCTCTTTTCGGACTTTTTTATACACATAAGTTTCTTTTATTTCTTCTCATTGATATCAAGATTTCTCATTAAAAAAATGGGGGTAAGAGTCCAAAACTTCATGAACATAAACAAGGTTCATGCTACGAATGAAGAAGCAAAATCCTCACCAGTCGTGGAACACTTCGACAAAAGCACATTGAAGCCTTGGCTCGAATTCTCGGGTTTCTATTCTTAAGATATGGTTCCAACTTTGGTAACAACAATGCAGGGGAAAACGAAGAAGTCATTGCTACCAGAGCTTTCTCGGCAGCTTCGCACACAAAACGTTTGTCTTGAGAAGCCTTCAGAAGAAGCTGCAACAACTGCACTCCATTGAAGAAGTCATTCATAGCTCAGAAAAGAGATCTCCATTGAAGAAAAATGTAAGATAAAAAAGTTTAAACTCAAACAGTGCAAGTTACAGTTACCATGGGATCTAATGATTCAATCACTTCGTCATTATAAGCAATGAAAATGTCTGCAGATGTCATAAGGGAAGTTTTGCACACAGCACTTCTAGGATTTTTCATTGATTTCACCAAAAGTGAGATCACGTCTCCCCTGCCACCAGAAAGTATAAGAAATAATACAATGAATCGAGTCGAAAAAGAAAAACCAAATGAATCGAGTCACTATTGACGACTTACAGCATATCGAGCATGTCTTCCCTGTGATATATTGCTAGTCTTCTTGTATTATTCAATGCTTCACAAACCGAAACCCAATCTTTTGAGCCTAATCCAGCTAAGAGTGTCTGAAGTTTTAAAATGAGTAAAGATGTAGTCCAAGTTAGGTATATAACGAATCCGAGCATGAATCATCAATGATGATCGACCCAACGACTAAATTTCAGCTGAACAAATCTAGTAATGTTAATACCTGAAGGCTTGACGAAACATCTTCTATATCGGTCAAATTCTCAGATTCGATATATTCTACTTCCGAACTACCAACCTCGGCAACAGGGTTGCTACTTTCACCATTTACTAGAGGCCTGATAGAAGCAGAGCTTTTACTTTTCAGCTCTTCAATGTTCCCATTGGCAGTCTTTATACCTATTCCTTGTTTACTAAGATCCTCTTTACAAGAGCTTTCGTTGTTCCCTTCGAGTCCGGGCATTGAGTTAAGGGCCTTTAGAGCTTCCTCTGACATGGCTGTTGCGATATACGACGCAGAGGGGAAATCTTTTAGAGTACGAAAAACATCAGAAGCTACATATCGAAAAGTAATTAGATTCAATGATATGTTCACTACCTTAGGAATAAGTAAAGTGTATGAAATTTACGTTTATAAAAAGAGTAGATAACGAGCGATTTCGTATTCTAAAAGATTCTGCAATACCAACCCAGATAACAGAATCAAATCCTTGGAAGATCAACCCAGATATGTGGATATGCAACTTGAATTTGAAGCTCATAGCTTGAATCTAGAAAAAAATCTGTGAGATCCCACGTCGATTGGATAGAGGAACGAAGCATTTCTTATAAGGGTGTGGAAACCTCTCTCTAGCAGACGTGTTTTAAAATCTTGAGGGGATGCCAAGAAGGGAAATCCCATAAGAGGACAATATTAGCTAGCAGTGAAATTGGGTGGTATTAAATCATACTCTAATGAAATTCCAGGCTCTATGGTAATATGATATTCACTAACGTCGCTCAATCACTTGATCAACCATCAAAATCATTCTATCATAGCAACTCCTAAACGAAATCGAGAGTGCATCCTGCCCACATCCAGAAGATATCTCTCCTTGCCATCACAACCTCACTCACAAATTACACTCACAACAATCACTATCCCATCTTTGTAAGATCTCACATCGGTTGGAGAGGGGAACGAAGCATTCCTGATAAGGAGGTGAAATCTCTCCCTAACAAACATGTTTTAAAAACCTTGAAAGGAAGCCCGAAAGGGAAAGTTTAAGGAGGACAATATCTGCTAACGGTGTGCTTGGGCTGTTACAAATAGTATTAGAGCCAGACACTGAGCGGTGTGCCAGCGAGGACGCTAGGCTCCCAGGGGAGGTGGATTGTGAGATCCACATCGGTTGGAGAGGGGAACGAAGCATTCCTCATAAGGGTGTGGAAACCTCTCCCTAGCAGACCCATTTTAAAAATCTCGAAAAACACAGTTGGGCTGTTGCAATCTCATTCATCAAAATCCACACAGATGCAAAACCAAATAACTGCAGCAATCACCAGTGATCATAAACCAAAGTTGAAGTATGAACAAACCATAGAGAAAATCAGCAACACATCCAACTAAGATAACAAAACAAAGCTCCAAAATTGTTTACTAGAACTAAAAACGAATAAGATCCAGACCCCCAAAATCAAAAACACCCAAAACCCTCAATTATAAACAACAAATTATAAAAAAGGGGCAAGATCTGAACCATGAACAGATCAAAAATCAGAACCAAACAGTACCAAGTAAACATTTCAATTCAAATTCACATCAGATTCAAGGCCTCAAACTAGAAATCAAACAGAAACCCAGATGAAAAAAACAAGAAATCAAGTAGTTCGAGAAGTACCCAGAGAAAAATGATAGTAAATACGAAGTGGGTAATGGCGATCAAGAGAGGAAGTTGCTGCAAATGATGCGGTGGAAATGGAAGGAGTTAAGAAAGATCAATAACCGGCGAGAGAGTGTGAGTGACGGGAAATGAGAAGAAGAAGAAGAAGCGGAGGTTTTGGCCGGCAGAGGCAGAGGTAGTGCACGTGATGTGACCCCGCCTTCACCCATGGAAATCAATTTACTGTTTCCTTCCTATATTTGTGGATTCCGATCCTCTCCCTCCATTTCTCCTTATTTTTCTCACTCTACCACTTTTTTTTCCCTTATCTCGTTTTCCCAACATTAAGTACATTTTAAAAAAGGTCTAATCTGTCTCCGCTTATGTCTTATTAGTCATAAAATTTAATTTTATATATGATAAATTTGGGAGTTAAAAAAGTTCAATTAAAAAAAAAAGGACAGAGTGTGTATACGAGTTGAGTTGAAAAAATCTTTTAAACAAACTCGAAAATGGGTTGATGACCCGAGCATAGAGTTCATAACCCAACCTAAAAATAGAGGGTTAGGTTGGTTTTCGGGTTATTTTTTTTAATTATTTAAAATACTATTTATCTTTCATACATGTTATATTAATAACTAAAATATCATATAAAGTTCAAATATCAAACATTTATAAGTCATAATGCATAGTTAACATTGACTACAAACGTTAAATATTTTTAATTTTTTGTAAGAGTAGAGTAGGGTTGGGTTGGATTGAAAGTTTTCAGGTTGGTTGGGTTGACTCGACCAAATAAATGTCAACCCAACATACCAAACTTGGAATTTTCGACTTTTCAAAAATCCAACTCAACCAAAACAAAGAAAAAACATAACTCAACCTTTATGGTTCTTATTGGGTTGTATGGGTTGATCAAGTTATTGGATCATATGAACGCCCTTCAAATTATCTCATACGCTCGGAGCATGAAAATATAATATTGTAGAATTTGGAGGCCTTGAAAATAAATTATTGTGGTTGAATCTTTGAGAATTGGATATGATTCAACAACTCCACATGCCTTAGCAAACACAAAATTGTCTCATACTTCAAATTATTACTTTTAAGAGGACCTTTTGGCAATATTCTTATCATAGAAAAAAGATACAATAATATAATATGAATAAATAGAAGGGCTAAATGCCACTTATCTTAGTTGGAGGTTTGTATATATTATTATAAGCTTATGTGTATTTTTTTTAATTCAATTTGTTGTTTTCGTATTTTTGCCCTAGTAATATGAAGAGGGTCTAGCCCTACTCCTATCAAAGTCAGTCATTGGACGGTGCGAGGCACTGATCGAAGTAAAGCTAGACTCTCTCCATAGTAGACACATTTTAAAACCGTGAGACTAACAATGATACGTAATGGGCTAAAACAGACAATATCTATTAACAGTGGGCTTGAGCTGTAATAAATGGTATCAGAGCCGACATTGAGGAGGTATGTCAGCGAGGACGTTGGGCCTCCAAAGAACGTAGATTGATCCTGCATTAGTTAGAGAGGAGATCTTCCCTAGTAAACGTGTTTCAAAACTGTGAGGTTGACGATGATACGTAATGGGTCAAAACAGACAATATCTACCAGCAGTAGGCTTGAGCTATTATAAATGGTATCAGAGTTCGACACTGAAGGGGTATGCCAACGAGGACGTTGAGCCTCCAAAGTGGGTAGATTGATCCTACATTAGTTAGAGAGGAGATCTTCCCTAGTAAACACGTTTCGAAACTGTGAGGCTGATGATGATACGTAACGGGTCAAAACAGACAATGTCTACCAGCGATGGGCTTGAGCTATTATAAATAGTATCAGAGTCCGACATTGAGGGGGTATGCCAGCAAGGACGTTGAGCCTCCAAAGAAGGTAGATTGATCCTACATTAGTTAGAGAGGAGATCTTCCCTAGTAAACGCGTTTCAAAACTATGAGGCTGACGATGATACGTAGTGGGTCAAAACATACAATATCTACCCGCGGTGGCTTGAGCTGTTATAAATTGTATCAGAGTCCGACACTAAGAGGGTATGCCAGCAAGGACGTTGAGGCTCCAAAGAAGGTAGATTAATCCTACATTAGTTAGAGAGGAGATCTTTCCTAGTAAGCACGTTTCAAAACTGTGAGGCTGACGATGATACGTAACGGGCCAAAGCGGACAATATCTCCTAGTGGTGGACTTAAACGAAGAACGAACAGGCACATTGAATTTGATTGATTGTGTTGGATTTTTGTTGGCCATTCCAAGCTTTATATCTAATGGACCCATTGCCACAAATGGCCACTCTTTAAGTGTCGGTGCGAGCTGCCCGTGTAGCTTATTTATGTTATTAATTAATGTGTATTATATTATATGATATGGTTCTTATTATTATTATTATTATTATTATTATTATTATTATATGTCTTATGTGCATGTGTTCGTTGTATTAATTTAAATTCATAGATGCCAACGCTATGTTCGTCTTTTTTAAGAATCTTGTCTCTTGGTTCCCTCACAAGGTTTTATTTATTACTTTGTTTAAATTTAATTTTCATATTTTCGATAGTTCTTAAACGACTCATTTAGGTTATTTTAGTGTTTTCTTCATGTAGCGGGAATGTGATAGAGGACTGGTCGGGCGAGTGTCTTTCTCAAGTAACTATGACCCATAGTGTAAGTGTCAATGTAAGATCCCACATCGGTTGGAGATGAGAACGAAACATTCCTTGTGAGATTGTGGAAATCTCTTTCTAATAGATACGGCTGACGACGATACGTAACGGGTTGAAGCAGACATATTTACTAATGGTGGGTTTGAGTTGTTACAGACAATGATGGTTTCGGCTCTCTCCTGCATGACTCGTACGTCTTGGCTTTGATCAACGATATGTGCTCTCTCACACGCAACACTATTGTCAACATCTTCTTAATTCTTCCCCTCTCTTCGTATGTTTGGAAGTCACTACGACCGTTATGGTTTATAACTAAGAGCTCGTGAATTGAGTCAATCACGTTTATTAGAAATGAACAATAGAGTAGCTCTACCAATCAAAACTCATCTATTGTACTCGGTCGTTTAAATCAAATCTCCATTTTGGTACAACAAGAAAGTTTATGCCCTAGTGAGACTTGTGACCAGAAAGAGAGTCGGGGACTGAGGAGGAGGTAGAGGAGGCTGAGTCATTTGATAAAAATGGAAGGCTCTTCGTATTAGAAAATGCTCAATAAAATAAAACGAAACAATGGACTTGCAATGTAACAACCTAAATTCACTGCTAGTAGATATTGTTCGCTTTGACCTGTTACGTATCACTATCAGTCTCACGATTTTAAAACGCGTATATTAAGGAGAGGTTTCCACACTCTTATAAAAAATGTTTTGTTCTCATCTCTTGTAGACATGCGAGATCTCACATTGAAATACCATGGGAGGGTTATCAAATATATGTATTAGCTTAAGATAAAGGATTAAATTATAAATTAAATTTTATAATTTAACATTTAAGGAAAAACATCCATTTTTAATTGGCGCCTAATCACCATGGGCAATTACGTCATTTTCCAAGTAACGTAGCGGTCTAGTTGCCGGAATACAAAGGCATTCAAGGTAACCTGCCGTACTCGCCAAGACGGCGAGGTAAAAACACGCGCCGTCGAAATGGCCGTCAGCGTCGACCACGGTAATTCACATTTACATTAGTAATTTTTTCCAGTAATTTTTTTTTTCTTTTTTAACGAAAGGGTAAAACTGAAGAACCAGGGGCAAAAAGAAAAAAAGGTCGGTCTCTTCGATACGGTCCGGTTCTGTTATTGGCCACAGTTTCTTCCGTTCCCCTCATCTTCCATTTCTCAAACCAAAAACCAAAACGGAACCACCAAAACCACCAAAACCCTCAAATCTCCGCCGTTGATTCCTGTCACATTCACCGGAATATCCCACCTGAGCTATGGTACCTTCCTTCATCTTTTTCTTCAATCACTTCTCTTCTGAATCCCTTCTTGGATGATGGAACTCGCCGATTCCAGCGACGAACACCACCTCAAGGACCATCCCAACCCCATTGACTCCACCACCACCCGCTCCGGTATCGGCATCGATCTCAACGAGATCCCTTCCCCTTCTTCTTTCTCTGAAAATCTATCGAATACTTTCGACGTCGTCCGTTCCTTCCATGACAACCCTCCGCCGCCTGATGGCGGCCCGGCCGATGTCCCTCGCGGGCTTCGTGGCTCCGTCTGTGGCTTGTGCGGTCAGCCGGAGGTGCACGGTCATGTGGTAGTGTGCGACGGATGCGAGCGGGGGTTTCATTTGGCTTGCGCCCGAATGCGGGGGGTTCAGGCGTTGAATTTCGAGGATTGGGTATGTGAGGACTGTTTTGGCAGCGGGGTGAAGAGTAAGCGGTGGCCGCTTGGAGTTAAGTCGAAGCAGCTGTTGGATATTAACGCTTCTCCGCCGAGTGATGGTGATGCTTGTGGCGAGGATGGTGAGGAATTGCCGGGTTTCAGGTATGGGGTTTTTTGTGGGTGAAATGGGGAAGAGAAGGTGTAGTTTCTTTTGGTTATCGATTAGCTAACTGCTGTCAGTTTTTGGAGCACTTTTTCTTTGGGGTTTCCACTCCACAAGAACTTTGAGTTGGAAAGTTTACATATTAGGGAAATTTAGTTGGTAGTCATTGTCGTTTTGAGTGTTAAAATGTTGGAAGATTAGTGCTTCACACGTAATACGATAGAATATGTCAGTGATTATAGATTGCAGGTTTAGTAAATCTCTTAGAAATAGTGACTGTAACACTCACATAAATCATATGTTTAGTTTTTATGCTCGGAGTTTGCTGGCTCACTCTGCTTCCATAATTATACAGCAAAGTACGTCCCATTAGCATGTTTCTGGGTCAAAGAATGTGTACTCAGATCCTGTTTTGCTAGTCTGCATGTGTTCTGGTAATGTTTTGTTTTTCCGTAGCTGTTGTGAAGATGAGCTAAATTATATTTATTGTGCCTTGCAAGCTTCCTAATTTTAGGAAGAGCAAACTTTATATAGCAAGGGCTGTGAATCTGAGCCATTTAATCCCAAACATCTTGACTGTGGGGAAATTAGTTAGTTATTTTCAAGTTACTCTGCCACGTCCAAGAGAAACTGTGAGCCAGTTAAATGTGGTTTCTTGTCCTATGATCTTTGCTGAAGGGGATAAAATGGGCTGCGAAGCATAATGTGTAGGCTTAGCTCATAATGTGTATTTGCATCAGCTGTTTGCTCGTCTCACATAATTCGCCATTTCATATCTCC